CAGAACATGAAGAACATGCAGAACATGCAGAAGATGCAGAACATGCAGAACATTGAGAACGTGAAGAACATGGAGATCATGCTGGAGATCCGTACCGACTATATGTGGAAGCTCCACTTCCTCGCCGCTCTCGGTGACGTCTGTGCAGGGCAGCTGTTAGCGAGAACAAACCGTAGGAGCGTTTAGGAATGTGCAGATTAGATGAAAAAAAAAAACACCAACAAATGTTTTTTTCATTAATTTTTCTTGATGTTATAAATCAGGGGTTCTCAGAGCGGGGGTCAGGACCCCCCGGGGGGTCAGAGACACCAAGCTGGGGGTCACTAGATGGTCTTAATCATTGTAATGTAATCCCTGAGGTATATGGAGGGCCAAAATATACCGGAATACATAAATTAAATAATAAATATATAATTTCATGATAAAATGTCCCAATAAAATGTTAAAAATAAACATAAAAGGAAGAATTAAATGCAGTTTTGGGGGGATGTTTGGGAACCGCTGCTATAGAAGCTAGGCTAACCTGGTAGACGGTAACTTTAGCATCCAGGTCGTTGGCGATGCGCTTCAGGCTCAAGCGGGCCAAGTCCACAGGGTCACCAGGGAGGGGCTGAGGAACGGGGAATGGGTTGATGTGCTTGAACTTGGGGAACCAGTACATGATGCGCTGGAACTTCCTCATAGGGTGGCTCTTCTCCCCAAAGATCCGGACCAGCAGGACTTTGGTCTCAACGTTCGGCATTATGCCTGAAAAACACAAATAAGACCTATGGGGTTAAATTAGGGCCAAAACTTTGCTCAGTTTCTCTTATAATTGGAAATAAAAAAATATATTTAGAAACTGAAAAAAAAATATAAATCTGAAAATATGTTTTTTAAACAGAAAAAAATGATAAAACTAGAAAAAAAATAAAATAAAAATACCAACTCAGGTTTAAAGACAATTCTAGTTCATCATTCATCACCGAATGTCATCTAAGAAGTCCAGAAGTTTAAATCTGAAAATAAAAAAATATATATTTAAAAACTTGAACTAAAAAGTAATTTTAAACATTCCTTTTTGGTTTTTATTCTTTTTTTCTGTTCAATATTTAAAATATTTGTATTTTTTAAATACTTTTCAATGGAATTTTTTTGTTTTAGTTTCATTGTTTTAATTCCCAAATCATATTTATTTTCAATTTAATTAAAAAAAACAACAACAACAACATTTAAGGCTCTGATTTGTCTCCATACGCCCAGCTCCAGCAGGAAGTGCTCTCCAGGCGGGATGGAGAAGCGACCCACCGTAGTTCTCCATCTGCTCCAGGATCTGCACCCCACACTCCTGCTGCCGGGGATAGTGGTTGAACATCCGCTGGATGAAGTTTCTGGGGACGAAGACCTCTTTGGGGAAAACGTCCAGCAGTTTGTTGTAAACGCTCAGGTCTCGCTCCACCCCGAACTCGGCCATCTTCTTCAGGGCGGTGTAGATGAACTCCACGTGGCCGCGCCGCCTGACGTCCCTCTTGGTGAAGACCTCGATGACCTCGTTGAATGTGGCCTTGGTTTTGGCCTCTTTGGCCACCTGCTCAAACAAGTCCTCCTGGGTGGCCAGGGACGTCGTCCTCTTCTTCTCGTCCTGGTTGACGAACCGCGCGGGTACTGGGCGACTCTTCGCGGACGCAGGGCTGCATCGGAAATGCCTCGCCGCCTGTGAGAGAAGGCCGACAGGAAGACGTTAAAATCCGTCGCGCTTCATTCAGGAAAAGTTCGTCTACGAGCAACAGGCTGAGTCCCGGGAAGAAAACGGACTTTGGTCACATGATGACCGGCTACTTCTAGGGATTTACATGTTAGCTTTTTTAAATATAT